CGTCACGAAATAAAACAGAATAATAATTACAATAGACAATGTGCAAACACTTTGGAAAATGTGTAATAAAACACTGATATGAACATCGGCCAATAATAATTTAAGAAATATAAGATGTCACCATTCTAATAATATTATACCATCCACACAGACAGAAAAATTGAAGCAAATAGGCAGACATTATTGTCAAAAATCAGAAACAAAAAACTGCCTCCTAATTGATATGGCTTGTCCAGCGGATTGCAATGTATCTTTGAAGATATTTGAAAAACTATCAAAATACAAAAGACCTGAAATTGAAATAGAAAAATGTGGAAATTGAAAAACAAGAATAATACCAGTTGTAATTGGAACCCTGGAATTATTTGAAAAATGGAACAAAACAACACATTGAAAGAATTCCTGGAAACCCCATGCCTAAGAGACATACAAAAAATTGTTCTTATTAAGTACAGCCCACACCTTAGGAGAACTTTATCTATGTAACGCTATTCAACTTTTTTTTTTTTTTTTTGTCAAAAAAAAAAAAAAATTAACGAAATTTCTAAACAACACACCACGTCCTGCCGGAACCCCGAAACTTGAAAGGTAGTGTGTCCGCCAGAAATCGAATGATGATGAATAATAATAATAATAATAATAATAATAATATAATAATAATAATAAATAATAATAATAATAATAATAATAATAATTTTGTGTCAAAGATCACGAAAAAAAGAGAACTTTATACCGTAATAAAAGAAACCAGCAAATTAAGAATATAGAGCATTTACTTAAATAAATTTTATCTATTAAACATAACCCGTTCTGTCCTGCTATTTACCCATAGCTGGAGGGGGGGGGAAGAAAAGGTATCATACCTTTCCCAAAGGTATTTGCACATAAGTGGATGTAATGGATTTGATTGGAAACCGAACTTGGTTCCTCCGAGCCGCTATCCATTACGCCACCGTGTCCCCTCTGGTTGTTAAATAGTGAATCATATTATCAAAGATGTATTCATTGAACTCGAAAGGGCACCAATATTCAGTGAGCTTTTAAATAGGAAATATCCAATATTTAAAAAGGAAATTTAGGTCATGTAAAAGGAATTCACCGAATTGACAAACCACTTAAGGAGAGAGTGTTTTTTTTTTGACTTCAGGAAAAGTACGGAGCGACCGCTGTTGAAAATGGTACGGGGATTTCCATTATAGAATTTTTGAGATGACATGGTTCCGGGTTATTTCCATTGGATATTTTAGTTTCTATGATCTTTCTTCAAAATATGGAAATAAAGAGAAATGAAAATAACGAAGGAGAAGAAAAAGAAGAAGAAAAAGAAGGAAAAGAAGAAGATGAAAAGAAAAAGAAAAAGAATTTGTTAAGCAAGTTAAAAGAAAAACAGAGAACAAAAGAAGAAGAAGAAGAAGAAGAAGAAGAAGAAGAAGAAGTAGTAGTCAAACAAGTGAAAATAAAAACAACATAAAAAGCAGCAAAGTAAGAAGCAGGGGGAGGTAAGAAACGGATTTTTATGTTTTTTTTTTTTTTTTTCTCAGCCTATAATTAGCTCGGGGATTTTTATGTTTTTTTTTTTTTTTCTCAACCTATAATTAGCTCTAATATTTTATTTTTTTTTCAGCCTTAAAAGGGATTTAAAAAACTTTTTAGTGGATTGGATTTTACGTGTTAATGGATTGTTACTAATATTCTTATTTTTGCGAAATATATATATATAAAAGGGGGTTTAAAATATATTTATAGAATATATATATATATATATATATATATTAATGGACACACACACACACACATATATACACACAGACACACACACATATATATATATATATATATATATATATATATATATATATATATATATATATATACATATATATATACATTTATATATATATATTTATATATAAATATATATATATACATTACATTTACACACACAATGTTCGATATTTCGTAAATATATATATATATATAAATAACATATAAATAGAAAATATATAAATAATTGTCGAACATTTCATAATATATATATATATATATATATATATATATATATATATATAAAAGTGAACATAGATGCAATCATTTAGAGGCGATCTGTTTCATGCTAGACGCAATAGACTGTCGCTTTTATATGTTTTTTATGTTCACTTTTATATTTACTACGATCTGATATTGAGCACTTTATCCCATAAATATAGCACATCTTAAGACTATATTTCTTCATATATATATATATATATATATATATATATATATATATATATATATATATATATATATATATATATATAAATTACTTAAAAATGAAACACAATTGTACCCAATCCCCCCCTCCTCCACCCGGGGACAATCTCTTTGCGGCTTGTCAACGCTAAACGTTTGCAGCATTGACAAGCCCCAGGGATATTATCCCGGGGTGCGAAATGGCCATCAAGATGGGGTACAATTGTGTTTCATTTTTATTTAATTTATATATATGTTCTATAATAAATATATTGAGGTCTCTTTTATGGATTTTTTTTACGAATTGGTTATTAGGATCTACTTGGAACAAAACATTGTTTTTCAATCGTTATATATATATATATATAATATATATATATATATATAAACAATTGTATTCTATATATGAACCGTAAGTTTAAAGGGTTCTCCAATGTAAAAATTTAAATAAAATAAAAGTAGTAGAGACAATGTAACAGTAAGAATAGATCAAGTATCTACCATCATAAAGAAAAAAATAAAATTGACAAAGATTTTGTTGGTTGAAAACGAAATTAGTTTTTTTTTTCCGAATTGACACACCCAAACTCAAACAACATGGGTTTTCAATCGTTATGAGTTTCGATTGAAAAAAAAAAAAAGTTGTCTTGTAAATGGAATTTTAAATTCATTCTGAATTAAAATAAAGAAAAAAGTTCATCCAATAAGAAAACTCGTTAATTTCTTAAAAAAGTATTTTTAAAACCAGACACACGAACAACACAACCTGGTTTTAACCTAAGTACTAGTTTACAAAAAAAAAAAAAATCATCTGGGCTTTCAATTTTGGGTTGAGAATATTTAATAAATTAAAATAGTTAAAACCGTTCGAACAACACATTTAAACCTTATCACATTAAACTCTAATTTATATTAACGTTAACTCCAAGCATTCCAATCAAATTATTAGATAAATTCCTTCCACTGTAAATACTAGAATCACTATGAAAGTAAAACCTTTTAATGACGCTCTCAAAAATTGGCTTTAAACAAAAAATTGTTTTACCTGGAATCTTTAAAAGACACTAAAATAAACTAGACATAGAAAAAGAAAAGTTATATGGTTTAAGCCGCCATTCTGACAAGTATCCAATATAAATAACGCTCAATAATTTCTGAAATTGATTGACAAGCATTTTATAAGAAATAACCCACTTAGTAAAATATTTTATAGAAAAACGTTAAAAATTAGTTATTCATGCACAAATAACATCTACAATATTATTAATTCACACAATAATAAGGTATTAAACAAGCTTTATAAAAATAACCAACCAAACTTAATTTTTTCCTTTGATTTATATATATATATATGAAGAAATATAGTTTTAAGGTGTGCTATATTTATGGAATAAAGTGCTCAATATCAGAGATAGAGCATATGTAGGAATGGTTTGTTAATTTGTTTATTATTTGCATGGGTTAATTTATTTTACTTGTTTTTTTTATTATTTTGTTAATTTTATTTATTCTTGTCAGTTTTCGATTTTTAAGTAACGTATTCATGTCTGCATTTTGAGATGAGTTCAGCTCGTTTATTTAGTAGTTTATTTTAGTTTAGGAAGGTCATAATAGCTATTTTTCCTCCACTCCCGTTAGAATAGACAAAAACGAATAAATAAAAATAAATAAGAAAAAACAAGTAAAAATAATAAATCTAAATAAATAAATAAAGTAGATAAATAATAACCAAATTAACAAACTAATCCCGACAAAATAACCGTTACAATAGACTAAAACAATCAAGCCAAAAAAAAAAAAAAAATACATATAACTGCTATATTAACGATTAAAAAAAATACTACGTTATTTAAGAAAACGAAAACCGAAAATAATAAATAAAAAACATACAAAATAATAAATAAATAAGAAAAAACAAATAAAAGAAATTAATCCAATTAAATAAATAAACAAATTAACAAACTGCTCCCGCTAAAATAACCGTTAGAATAAAGCTCGCCAGGTACGTCACGCGATGTTTTCCTGTGTCTCTCTTTCCCTCTTTTCGACCCGTGAGTATCAGATTCCCCAGGCTCTACTTCCTCATTATGTATCCCAGAAACTTCAACTGCCTCTTCCTGATATTAAGTATAAGCCTCCTCCTTGTTTGCAAACTCTCTAAGACTTCACACGCTCGGTCCATGATATCCTTATCATACTTCTGTAGAACCATTTCTCTGTCACCTCGAGTCTCTTCTTCATCTTTATTCCGAGAACTTTCGACATTAACAGAATGTCGTCATCGGGATCTTGTTTTTTCAAAGAAAAAAATTGTTGTATTCATCATTTTTCTAATATTTTACGTATGAAGTGAAAAACGTTAAGGTTATGTACTGTACGATTTTTCAATTTTTATCATTTAGTCACACGTACAAATGCCAAGGGAGGTAACTAAGTTATTGCAATGTCTATTTTAAAAAAGAAAAAAAATGAAAAAATGACAAAATAAAGATTGACTGTTTTGTTTTTTACTGCTTATCAACCCTTTTCAAGTTATTTCAAGTTATTCAAAATCAGAAAATATTTTTAGAGTGTATGATTTTTAAAAAAATCATATTTATATAAGTTCTACTAATAAACCTATAGCTGGAGAGAGAGGAAGTAGATTCATACCTTTCCCAAAAGATGCAGGCGCGTAAGTAAATATAACGAATCCGGCTGGAATTGAAACCCGGCTAACCAATTTCCACTTTCGAGCCGTTATCCATTACACCAGTCGCACATCCAAGCCTACAACACCTGTTATTCCAAATGGTCACCCATGTAGGTAATAACCAAGCACGACGTTGCTTAACTTTGGTGATCGCACAAGAACTAATGTGTCAACGTGGTATGGCCGTAATCCAAATAGATGAGAAGTAATGAAGAAAAATAAAAGGAAGGAAGTACACAATGTGTGTGTGTGGGGAGGTGGTGCCAAGGAGGCCGCCATAAAATAAACAAAATGAAGCATTATCGAAATCAGATGTTCCAAGTGGAGGTGCTAAATGAAATATTCAATTTTAAAGAGTTTTAATTATTTATTTTTTATCTGGTTTTCCCATTAATTTAATTTTTTTCTTATCTCTGTAAAAAAATTTAATATCTGTAAACCGTTTTATGAGCCTCGATTTGAAAAAAATAAATAAAAAAATTCGCTTCTACTTATTTTCTGGAATGAAACTTATTTCTTAATCTGGGCGATATCGACCACCGGCGGGCGATTTCAAAAGTTGGGTGGGCGATGAGCAACTGAACAGAAAGTGGTGGGCGAAGGAAATTTTACTGATCGATATAGGATTTTGAGTACTGAAAAAGGAATTTCAACATATGCAACCCCCACCAAATATTCAAAGTAGACATGCAAAGAATCTGTAAAAACAACCCCCCCCCCAAAAAAAAAATAACAGGAGACTAAATAGAAAAATCTAAGTCATATTCCGAGATAAGATTTAAATATTCCCGCATACGAGGAATATTTTGGTATTTTCTATAGTTTTGAGAAAGGTCATTAACATTCAAATACTTCTTCAGATGAAATGACATTGTTTTTTTTTTATATAAATCAGATAAGGGAAGACTGTTAAGATACACAGATGACATAATACTGATAGCAGACACGGAAAAGAAACTACAAAATCTCCTACAGAACGTAACGACAGAGAGTGAGAAGAAGGGACTAAGCATAAACTACAAGAAGACAGAATGCATAGTCATCAACAAAATGGTGAGCCCGAAATGAGATTTGCAGGTCGTGAACACTAAAATCAAGCAGACGCGGAAGTTTAAATATTTGGGGAGCGTTTTGCCAGAGGACGGTAAGTGCGACACTGAGATCCATAGATGTATTGTGATGGCCAAGGACGCATTCAAAAAGCTGGGCAGAGTACTGCGAAAGAGGAGGATTTCTTTGGTAAAGAATACTGAAATGTTACGTGACATCTGTCCTTCTTTATGGCAGCGAATGTTGGACGATTTCCTCAAAGATGAAAAAGAGACTCGAGGCAACGGAGATGCGGTTCTACAGAAGGATGCTAAGGATAACATGGACTGAGCGTGTGAGCAACGATGAGGTCTTAGAGAGGATGCAACCAAGGAGGAGACTTATATTTAATATAAGGAAGAGGCAGCTGAAGTTTCTGGGAATATAATGAGGATAGAGGACATGGAGAATCTAATGCTCGCGGGTCGTATTGAGGGAAAGAGATACAATAAAACAACCTTCCAAGTGGATGATAGATGGCAAGGGGAAGCAACTTCTGATCGATAGACCTTTGCCTACGCCCTAAATAGACATAGACAGAAAAAGAAGAACAACTTTGCCAGTAAAACATTTAAGATAATTTTTAGACCTTTTTTTATCACATTGGCCATCAGATCAAATTCCGCCAAACGATTTTTCCCAGCACTCTATTAAATGTTTATACAGTATTTTTCCATGTGAAAGTAATGCGTTTGGGAACCTTTATAGATATTTTGATATAGACATTCTTACATACTCCACCAGATAGACCAACCGATATAGACCTTCTGATACAGACCTTCTGATATATACCTTCTGATATAGACCTTCCGATATACATCTTTTGATATAGACCTTCTGATATAGACCTTCTGATAGAGACTTTCCCAATAAGACCTTCCGATATATACCTTTGTGATATACATCTTTTGATATAGACTATCCGAAATAGACTTTCTGATATAGACCTTCCAATAGAAACCTTCCAATATAGATCTTTTGATGTAGACATTCTTACATAGACCTCCAGATAGACCTACTGATATAGACTTTCTGATACATATATTCCGATATATACCTTCTGATATAGGAGTTCAGATAGAGACCTTCTAATATAGACCTTTTAATATTGACCTTTTGATATAGACCTTCTGATATAGACTTTCTGAGATAGACATTTCAATATAGACCTTTTGATATAGACCTTCTGATAGAGATCTTCTAATATAGACCTTCCGATATATACCTTCTGATATAGACCATTTGATATAGACCTGATAATGACCTTCTGAAATAGACTTTTCGATATATACCTTCTGATATCGACTTTCTGATATAGACATTCTGAGATAGACATTTCAATATAGACCTTTTGACATAGACCTTTTGATACAGACCTTCTGATATAGACCTTCTGATATAGACCTTCCGATATATACCTTCTGATATAGACTTTCTGAGATAGACATTTCAATATAGACCTTCTGATATAGACCTTCTGAGATAAACATTTCAATATAGACCATTTGACATAGACCTTTTGATATAGACCTTTCTGATATAGACCTTTCTGATATAGACCTTCCGATAGATACCTTCTGATACAGACCTGTTGAGATAGACATTTCAATATAGACCTTCCGATATATACCTTCATATATTCTAATATAGACCTTCCTATATATACCTTCTGATATAGACCTTCTGAAATAGACATTTCCATATAGAACATTTGATATAGACCTTCTGCTATAGATCTTCAATTGTTATGTTTTCAGTATTCAGCGTAACGTCCTTTATTTCTATTTCAGATTCAACAGTTTTTGGGTGAACCACACTAATAGCTTTTGAATGAATAGAGACCATCTTGACATTTTTGTAGAAAATAAAAGATGATGACAAGTATTAAGTATACCTTCAGTATGTATTTAACAGAAAACAATAATAATATTATATAATTTATTGGCATAATGAATTATTTGAACGCGTAAGCTCCATTTCAACAGATAACTTCCAAAATCTTTCAGACATAGAGAACTTTCCTGTTAACAAAATCCAAATTACTGTTTATAAAAACACATCTTCGACGATCTTTCTCGATAATACATTTCTGAAACATTGAAACACAACATTTACTCAAATAAATTGTATCCATAAAAATAACGTATAAACGGAAAATATATTAAAATATTTGTCGGATTTAATCCATTACTTCTAATATATATATATATATATATATATATATATATATATATTTTTCTTCTTCCTTTTTCTTTTCTTTTCTTTCTTTTTTTCTTTCTTCCTCCTTTCTTTTTTTCTTCCACTTCCCCTTCTTCCTCTTCGTCTTGTTTCCTCTTCGTCTTTTTTCCTCTTCCACTTCTCCCTCTACCACTTCGTCCCTTCCTCCTTTTCTTTTTTCTTCTTCCACTTCCTCTTCTTCCTCTTCATCTTTTTTCTTCTTCTTTTTCTTCCCTCTTTCTTCTTCCTCTTCCTTTTCTTTCTTTTCGTCTTTTTCTTCCTCCTCTTCTTTTTCTTCTTCCACTTCCCTTCTTCCTCTTCGTCTTTTTTTTCCTCTTTTCTTTTTTTCCTCTTCCACTTCTCCCTCTACCTCTTCGTCCATTTCTTCCTCCTTTTCTTTTTTCTTCTTCCACTTCCTCTTCTTCCTCTTCATCTTTTTTCTTCTTCCTCTTTCTTCTTCCTATTCCTTTTCTTTCTTTTCATCTTTTTCTTCCACCTCTTCTTTTTCTTCTTCCACTTCCTATTCTTCCCCTTCGTCTTTTTCTTCCTCCTTTTCTTTTTCTTCTTCTTCTTCCTCTTTCTTCTTCCTCTTCCTTTTCTTTCTTTTCATCTTTTTCTTCCACCTCTTCTTTTTCTTCATCCACTTCCTATTCTTCCCCTTCGTCTTTTTCTTCCTCCTGTTTCTTCTTTCTCTTCCCCTTCTTTCTCGTCGTATTTTTCTTCCCCTTCTGCTTTTTCTTCTTCTGCTTCCCTTCCTCCTCTTCCTCTTTTTTCCTCTTCTTTTTCTTCTTTCCCTCCCTCTTCTCCTTCTTCGTCCTTTTCTTCCACCTCTCCTTTTTGAGTTTAAGAACTTTAACAAAATATTTCAATAATAATCATGAATATGAATACAGGTCGTTATTTAAGGAGAAATGAGAAGATTTGAACGTGGCAACTTTTTCCATTTCATTGAAGCAGACGTCAAACACTTTCTTTCATTCATTCTTTCTTATAGAATTATATGACAGATACACAAAATGTGCCATGCTATGGAGGGGAGCCTAAAATTTAGTTTAAGATATCTCTTTTAATAACTTGATTATATGTACCACGAACCCTGATCAGTGGGTGGGGCATGGTGAGGCCCTGAAACTGACAATAGGCCTCAACGGAATGCCAACAAGAGACTCTTGGATGTATCGCGCATCTCGATTGCTATGTCTTACCGATTCTCTTATATGGCAGTGAAGAAGATCAAATATCTGGGAAGTATTTTCAAAGAGGACAGGAAATGTAACCACAAGATCTGAATAGGCAATTGGGCTAGCGAAAGGAGGATTCCAAATGTTAAGCACGGTGTTGAGTATCAGAATGATTTCTTCAAAAAGAAAGAAGAGAGTGCTTTATTGCCATGTGATATCCATTCTCTGATATGGCAGTGAACGTTCAACAATGTCATCACGGATGAGAAGAAAACTAGAGGCAACAGAAATGGGATTCTACAGAAGGATACTGAGAATTTCATGAACATAGACAGTCAGCAACAAAGAGGTCTTAAAGAAAATCTATCTATCTATCTATCTATCTATCTATCTATGTTTATTTGTTCATATCTATCGATCTGTCGAGATCTATCTATCTATCTATCTATCTATCTATCTATCTATCTATCTATCTATCTATTTGTTCATATCTATCTATGCCTTTTTAGTTCATATCTATCTATGCCTTTTTAGTTCATCTCTATCTATAGATATCCATTTGTTCATATCTATCTATCTATCTATCTATCTATCTATCTATCTATCTATCTATCTATCTATCTATCTATCTATCTATCTTAGTCTGTTTCTATCTATCTATCTATCTATCTATCTATCTATCTATCTATCTATCTATCTAT